CTTTTGCCCCTGAAGAAGAAAGGTCCACTTTTCGAAAGCACTCGGGTTATACGGTTTTTATTCATTTCTGTTTTGATATGTTACGTACTATATTTCAAAGCGGTTGTCGATCGACTTTAAAAAAAAATAAAAATCAAATAAATAAAAACGAACGTTCTCAAGATGTCCTATACTTCGTGCTTGTAAGATAATTATCAGTAAAACACTTTTTAATTTCAATTATATCTTTGTATGAACAAAATGAGTTTAGGCATAGGTTTAAATGCTCAAAACGTCAGTTGTTATTCTAGGCGCAAGTAGTAATTATTATTGAACGCTAGCGCGTCAGACTACACGCGGACAAGTCATCAGCACCCCGCATGTTTCGCCAAGGTCGTGACCACGTGGCACGGGCGTACCTATGCCACGCGCCTGGCACGCTTGAGTGATATGCCCAGGCGCAGAACATGCCAGCTGCTGTTGTTCTTCGTGCCGTGAATACAGGATTTCAGGACAATATTTTAGAAGAGCAAGCTCAAAGAGTGCATAGTAATCAGTAAACAAGTCACATTTATATATAAAATTGCTACATATATTGTTCAGGCCAGTCAACAAATAACGTAAATTACAAGAACAGTTAACAATAAAGTTGTAATATTTACACATTTACGTCATCGCACGGTGTTCGCAACTAGTCTCTTCAAAATAAATATTTCAATGTACTGGTACACGTGTAACCAGAAACAGAGGTTTCAAATCAAAGCAACAGAAGGAAACTAGGGTCACTGAAATAGCTCACAAGCCCCCCCCCCCAAATCAAGAATCAATCCACACACTTGTAGACATTTAAATTCGTAAAATTACTCAACTGAAACTGACATCCTCAAGGAACCGATTCCACGCTCAGCAGTCCTAATAAGAACTACGTTATCAAAGCAAGTCACTAGTACTGACCAATCCCATCAGTGGAAAAATCAAGCTGATTTCTCATACGTGTTCTATATCCAAGGTGTTGACAGTCTTGAAGAAAACTTCCTATAAATACAGAACAATAAAAGCAGTGTTCTAAATTACATCAAAACAGAATTTTATATAAAACGTTATCGTTTTTTAAACCAAAAAGTTTCTATAATAGATCACAAAATTTGGTCAGCTTGAGACACCATGGGGATTCTTCGTTTCTCAATAAATATCCTCAATACTTTATTTGTTTTCCACAACGCTTCCTTCCCACGTCATCTTTAAGTTTCTGTATATCCAGAACACCTTTTTCCACGGACTTTACTAACCACTTGGTTAGAAATATCACATCTTTATTAGGATGCTAATAAATCTACAGACCATGAATTATTTATAAAATAATAAAAAATCAAGAGACAGGACTCTGAAAAATTCTACCAGTTATAATATCCCAACGAGAAAGCGAATAATGTGTATTTCATATCACTCTCTAATTTACATTATCAAACAAATTTCCAACCAATTTTCGAAGCTGGTGAGGAGTAAGACTTCCAAGTTGGTGAGGGGGAAGATTTCCAAGTTGGTGAGGGGGCAAGATTTCCAAGCTTTCCAAGGTGTAAAATTACTAACTTTTTTAAAGATCTTAGAGACAGTTGTTGTTCGATACGGTGTGTGGTGTTATCGTTACATTTCACACACAGGATAGTTAAACACGAAATAAAAATGTCGTCGAAAAATTTTGGCACTTTTGTATTGATGAATAAATTATCATAGTTGAAATTATCTCCTTCACAAAGCACATCAGTTCACTTACGATAAGATATTTTTGTGCAGATGTCGAGTGTTCCAAATATCTTGATACCAGGGGGTAGGGGGGGGGATAACCGTAGAGAAGACAAGCTGTTAGACGAACTTCTTAGTACAAATCAACAACAAAGAGTCATCTGGCGGTCTTTCTTGTTACCTGTTTTCCGACCGTCCATCTGTCGTACTTACGAATGATCAATCACAGCCGATGGCGATACGCGGTAAGGCTAGGGGCGGGGAAAAGTTTTTGCAAGGTGTGCGCTGTATAATTCGCGTTGCAGACGACGTCTCCTCAGTTCGTGAGTCGGCTGCGAGGAGGTACACAACTGGCACTAGAAGAGTAGTGTATTAGTATGGTCTTTGCTTTGACGTCGAGCAGGACGTTGTCTTCGTGTAGTGCGTGCAGGTTAGTGTATAATACGTGTTACATTGAATAACGATATGCATATTTTTTGTATCTTGTGAAAGCTTCGTTATTGTATATGTATATTAATTTTTTTTTTATATTTATATGGATAATGTTAACAGTAAGCTTTAATGTCGGTATTTCATCTGCTTCATGAGTACTATAAGAACTGATAAAAATAAAACTTTTTTTTTAACACTGGTAAAAACAATAAGTAGGCAAATAATATTCTATAATTTGAAACTGTTCTACCTCTCAGTGTATTATTTCAGCGATACGTGATAAAGTTGATACAACTAAACGTTAAGAATACTTAGATTTTTTACGACGAACCAACAGAATCACTTTATAAAAAATATTGATAGTGATACGCCTCAGTAAATACTTGTCAAACATGTAACAGATTGACTGTTGATACGATTGAGATTTATTTTTGCTTGTTTATGTAACAATGAGTTTTGTGTTCTGTTACGAAACTACTTTACTCTTCTGTTTTAGCGCAGATCTGCGTATTGTTTTAGACGTAAAACAATGATTTACATTGCTCTAAGCTTCTAGAATATTTAATGACCAGTGTCCCTCTTTTCAAATATCATGCCCGCGTGAGTTCGACGTATAATAGATAGTTTCATTATGCAATAATTAAACTTTATGCCAGTAGAATTATTTTGGGAAATGTTGACTGAGTAGTGTTTGTACTTTATATTATAGTCTTAGAACATTGTAGTGATAAGTGGCAAAATAATGTCGACGTAGAACAAGATTATATCAAAGTCTTATCGTCCATAAACTACAGCTGCAATACATCAGCATGGCCACAGAAATATCCGAACACTGTCTTTCTTTCTTTTTTTTAATCACTTATGAGGAACATTTATTACCACCAACAGACATTATTTAATTCACAGAATCTATCCACCATTTTTCTCTCTCTCGCGCGCGCGTGTATGTCTGTATAAGTAACTTTTATGAACAAGAACTTTCTCTACATTTAAACAGCACCAAATCAAAATTATAAATAATGATATTGCAAAAAAAAAATCAAACTATTAAAGTTTGGACCGAGGTTAAAATTTTGGAACCATGTGTGAATATATCTTTCAGTTCAGTATATTTCTTTACACGTTTGAGGGCGAAGGTTACATGTGAAGACTAGTCTAAGTTATTCTAGATGAATACACACACACACACACACGTACCATTAATAGTATCTATCAAACTCTACGTGATACCTCATATAAGTGGAATTTGATGTCGTATATGTTTTAACTGTCTTCCAATTCCCGATGAAATCGAGCATATTTCATCAGTAACAGAGCTTTAGAACCCCCCCCCCCCCATTTCTCCCATGGCGAGCAGGAAAAAAATGCAGCTGGTCCCTATTCTCATTTTAATCGTTATTGGCAAGCAGCTAAAAATATTACGGTAATTAGGATTTATTATTTGAAACCGTACCGAGTGTCTGGTTTCTCAAACCAAGCTCTTCGTGTAAATTCTAAATGTGGAAGAACCTTTACTATTCTTAACTTTTCAACAATAATGTCATCTACACAGTATTGCCCCTAGCAACAGTATTTCTGGAACTCGTGCGTGGATTATTGTGAATAGTAAAGATATATTTTCACCTTGTGAATATATTTTTCGGAAAGGTTTAACCAAGTAAAAACAGACCAGCGATTCTATGTATAGTTTGGTCTAACTGTCTCTACTTCCTCTTTTCTGTGGCTCGAATCCCTAACTATTTGATGCATTTTGAAATAGGCTGTTACTAATTGATACTTACTAAAAATAAATCTTCAGAATTTCACACAGCGGTATACTATTATTGTAAACTGTATTTTTATAGGTGTAATTTTGGATGTTAGCTAGAGGGAGCTGCGGATCGTAATGATGACTTTAAGATCAGAGTGTGTAATAAGATAGGCCTAGAAAATTCTAAAAGATTTGGTTTTCTAGTAAGTTCGATGATTTATTATATATACGAAAACGGCGAAGTACCAAGAAGATAGTTAAGAAAAGACAGAGTTCTTTTTTTTTTTTTCTAGTTGGTAGACTAATCTGGTCAATGTATTTTCACTTCAGCAGTGATGTGGTTCAACTTATAAGTAAGTTTTATTTTTTACGTTAGTGTAGCGTAATTAGTTTCATATGTAAATCTAGGCCTACAAAAAGTTGCAACAATATACAAGTTCCACGGTGCCCAAGTTCGTGAAAACGTTAAGAAACAAATAAACAAATTTGTTATCGTTTACTTGGACTGGAATTTGAATTATTTTCACCAGATATTTCAAAATAACCTATCATTGAAAGAACAACTTTACAGTACTGTTTAATCAAAGTATTTCTTTATGTGCTGAAAGAAACCATTTTAGTTGTCTTCCCGTTCCTTTTTGCCTTTCTCTCTCTCTCTGTTTCATATTCAAAGCGAAAACTATTTATCACTCAGTGTTTGGTTATAATACTTACTGCTGCAGTTTTTAATTACTTCGTACTTGCGATGACATCATAGCACAATATTCACCACAAATCTTGTGATAAATCCAGTTGGTGCTCAAAAAACATGAAAGGTTCCGTTTTGTGTGTCTATTTAAAAATCTCGTACATTTTACACTAAACTTTATATATTTTACTTTGGAAGTTTTTGTTTTTATAAGGAAATATACTATTTATCTAAAACAATTGTAGCCTTTTATGCCACAAAAAGAAATAAACATAAATAAATGAATAACTGACATAGCAAACTGAAAAGTTATAAAACGAGGTTAAGTATTTTGAGGTTGATTATTTTTTCAGAATGAATTAAAAAATATCTAGATAAAATATCAATACCATATTGTCTGTTCAACAGGTTATCCAGAAGTTTGTCCACACCTCGACGCTGCTTGACTTGTCAGAAGATGGTATATCTCACAGCCTTTCGATGTAAAGATTGTGGGTACGTTGACATTTTATGTTATCAAAGTATAAGGTCATTAAAAAAAACTATCCGCGTCATCAAAACGTAAGTTACGTTACTTTAGTGCAAAAGTGAAATTCTCAAAAAAAAAAGATACTCAGCTGGATGAAGTTGACATGTTTTTTGAAAAATAAAAAAAATATACGTGTAAACATAAAAAAAAACACAACAATTTGAGTGTCAATGAATAAATGTTTTCTGATAGAAAAATGGAATGCACGCGCATCCGAAAAAGCAGCTAAAATATGTCCCGGTACTCAGTATAGGCAGAATTTCATCCCTGCTTTATTAGTGTATCACTCTCGTGTTGGTTCCATACACTGTCGTACAGTAATAAATTCTAACACATTCGTTGTTGTATCAGTCTTCGAAATCTCCACCACCGTTATGAATGCATGTGTGACATACAAGTCCCTTTAAAAAAAATATTATAAAATACAACGGAATTCATTTTTTTAGCTGATTATATACTGTACTAGCCACGACTCGCGTATCATTTTCGGTAGTTTTCATGCCCTTCACTTGAATTTTCCTTATTCTATCATTTTCACGCACGCATTTAAGGTACGCTTTCTTGCAGGCTTTGTGTTAGATAGATAAATCCTGATCTATTTCAAAAACAGTTTGCGCGATCAGACAAACAAAATCACGTAGACGACATAATTTCATTTAATAAAACTACACCTAGTAACTTTATTTAATAAAACTACTAATAGTATAGTATTGGTATATATAATAGTGTACAGAGTATGAAACAGTTATGAGCATTCAGTGTATGACATGGTTTTACGAGTTGAGACAAAAAAACACTCGCAAAGAATAAAACCCGTAGTAAAGAAAAAAAAATATCTAAAAGGTGTTTACAGCAGTCCATGAAACGAACCGCAGCTACATTATTACAAAGTAAATTAAATGTAAAGTTGTAATGAAAACAAACTTAGCTGAATTTGCAGAAACGTTTGAATGTATGTTTAAAAAGTGATAAGCACTGTGCATATGTATTTTAGACCTAATTAAGTTGATAAAGCCCAGATAAATTGTATTTATTGTAATGTTCACTTTTTAAGGAAATTACACGCGCGTTAAATGCTGTTTATGTGTAATATTTTGCAAATAAAAAAACTAAAGTGGAAATAAAAGCCAGTCGTCACGTGATAACAACTACATTGTGCCATCGTGTAGCATATTCGTTGTATTAAAAAGTTTGACTAAGGAAAAATCAGGCAAGGCGATTCTGAATGGCAAAGCCAATGTGCAATTCGGACTCCTCAGACAAAGGCCTTTCTAACAATATGACATTTGTAGCGTTTGATCGAAAAATTTGCGAGAAAAGTTCCGGATAGACAAACACAAGCGTATTATTTATATAGATACGTTTTTCATTTAGTATTTAAATTTAGGCTTAGGTCTGATTGCAACATTTTTATATTAAAAGAAAATAGTATATTTATGTATATTAATATTTTAACACTAAATTTTTCAAATGTTTGTTAGAGGTATGAAAATCAAATCCGAAAGTCAGTTTAATCATTTAATTACTTGCCTTATAACTGGTTTCTGAGTCTAAATTTGTTACTAGAAACATTATCTTGCAGTTTGGATAGACTAGTGTTGAACACCTTTCAGTTTAGTTGGTGTTTTAGTTTTAGTTGGTGAAATTACATTATAAGAATCATAACATGGATTTGTTTGAGCTAGTTTCTAGTACAAGTTAAACCATCTTTACTAAACGTTAACAAGATGTCTAAATCTTCGGAAAATCTACTTTAAATTATTGCCTTTTTTTTCTTTTGCACACGTTCGTAGATGATATTAAAACCTTTTTACACTTTTCGTTCAGAATGTAATAAAGGACACGAAAAACAATTCTACTGTACTTTCATATGTCATATCTAAAAACATACTATGTAGCAAATTTAAATGGTACTAGTGTAAAATTCAAAATACACTTTAGAGTTATTCTGTTTTTGAACTTTCTGATTATGGTACTTACCCGAAATCTGTACAGCAGCAGACCTTTGACTGATCAGTTTACATTTATTTTCGTAGAAACGTTACACACGACTCTTGTGTGAACAATGAAAGCAATATGGAATCTCGTTGCCACGGTAACAGAATTAACTACAGGAACAGCTTTCAATACCCCATAACAACAGGTAAGGATAGGCATAGATGTAATTTCTCTAACTTTCTTTTGTAGAATCCAAAACAAACTTAATTGTAATATTTATATAGTTAGAGAACCTATTTCTTATAGTTACGTGGAATGAGACGTACGATTTCATTATTACTAGTATATTGTAGGCTACGGCTTTCCACGAAAGCTATTATTTTGCTTGGTTCCTGTGTACACGTGCAGTGTAAGTGTATATTATCATGCACGGTCACGTAACGGATTTAGACTTAATTTGAAAAATCTATAAATAACTAGATTGGCTGTAATTCTAATATTTTCTTACTTTAGTTTTTCTTATTGAATTTTCAAACTTCCGTAATATATATATATATATAAAGCACTTGTGCGTTGTGATTAGTTTCACTCACTTCTGGTGAATTAAAGAAACCAACTTCTTAATGTTTTGGTATTGTTCCATTAACTAAAAATGGAATGTTTCTTTAAGTAACATACTCAAAAACTATGTTCATTTTAAAAAGCTAGGCTCATATTGCCAAGAGTTTTATAAGATTTAGAAAATGACGTCACGTGTTACTTAATATTGAATTGCAAACAAACTAAAAAATAAACAAACTTTTTATTTTCTTTATCAGTAGGTGAAACTACGGAAGTAAACTGGTTTTCGGACTCAGAAAAAAGTGCATTTTCATCTCCAACTGCAACAGAAAATAATCTGCCGCGTTCATCATTCAGTGATATGTCTAACACGGATGTAAAATCAGCATCTTTAAGCGGGAAAAATAATAGTTCTCTTGCCTTATCAGGTCTGCTGAAAGTAGTTCACTGGCTCGCTCAGCGACGTAGGAATCGTGACATGAGCAAAGCAAATGCTGCTGATAAACACGCGAAAGCAAAATATGGATTAAACCAATGCAAAGTAAGCGATAAGCAAACCCGGAAGAAGTTAAAAGCGTTCCTGAAAAACTCTCAAAAGTCTAAAAGTGCCGTTATTGGTTTAACGTGCTCATCTAGAGCTTGTACTTGTGGGTGGACTCGTCTGCCTATCACTTCAAGTCAATCAACCAATTACGCATCTCTTATCTCGCCAAACAGTAGCCTGTCTTCAAGTAGTTGTTTGTCGTCCACCTCTTCCGCTGCTCAGACTCCTTCCGACACAGAATCCGATTATCGTATTAGGGTTAATGACAGAATTCCACTGTGGTTGGACAAAAATTTCCGTGATGTTCGATCTGTTGGTTTGACGTGCAGTAGTTCGCGTTCGCCGTCTATTGGTGGCGCAACACCTGCATTCTTAAAATCGGAAAACAAAAACTCAAGTGTGAACTCTAATCGCAGTCAATGTATCAGTGCACAAGGACGTTGTGCAAAACAGTGGTTAACTAAAGCAAGAACATTAAGCTTGGAAACCAAAAACTCACCATCACACAGACTTTGTGCAACATGGCCACCATATGACATTTGCGTTAGCTCAGTAGGTAAGTTAATTATTTCAAAAGCATATCTAAAACGGAAACAGTTTTTATTCATTTGTTAAATAAGGTTGCAACTCTTAATACATTTCAGATTATTGAATAGTTAAAGATTGATTACCAGTTTATGGTCGGCGTTACTTTGAATAAAAAAAAATATATTTTTGTAACATTTCCCCATATATGAAACTTTGAGCACATTTCTAATTAAAAAGTCTTCTTTATAATTATTTATATTTAATTTATTTTTGTTGGCAGAGACTAAAATAATACAAAAAATCGAATGTAACACTCCAGAAGATTGTCGTCTATTTATTATTATTCTGTAAAAAAGTGAGTGTTGAAATACATGCAATTAGTAACTAATTATTATCTATGGTTTGTTTCTTTAACCTTCTGAAGAGAAAAAAAATTGTTTGGCTGTATAGTTTGTCCATCCAGCCTAGTTTCAAAATCCGTTTTCATTTTAATTTAACCTGTTCGTTTGTCGCTAACATTCTGTTCGTCAACAGTAGATGTCGCGAATCCAAGCAGTGACGTTTTGATAGGTTACAAAATATTCTGGGCGAGAAAAGCGGCAATAATTTTGTCATTTTGAAAAATTTCTATGTTGCTGTTATTGTTGTGATATTATGCTTAATTATCATCAAATTATGTTCCTTATTTTTTTCGAGGAATTGCAAAACTTCACAAGTTGTATAAACAAATGCATTTATCGAATTTTCATCACTCGTGTCGAGGCTTTAGTGAAATTTGTTTAAGTATTCCAGTAATTGTACAGATAAGACTTTAAGCTGAAGTCTAATTTATTTGTGAAAATTTGCTAAAAATAAATCCTACTTAAAGGTTAGATACATGACCGATAAAAGATGCTTTTTTCTGCGTCAGGAATATGAGACTTATAATTTTTTTTAAATCGACCAGAGAAAATAATAGTACAAATTTGACCTAATGGGTATAATTGCGTATATTTATCACCATTATAAAATATTATTTAAGGATTTTTTAAAATTTCACGTGTACTTTTCTGTGATAGATAACAGCTCAGATAACAGCTGGAAAATACGACTATGTGCTTGAAACAATAATCTATATTAAAACAACAATGGTTATTATGTGAACGCCTTTTCCGAGCTGGTGAAGCATGATTATATTTAATTACACTTGTCATATGATATTAGGCTTAATACTAATGTCTTGTGACAAGTATATTATATATTAAAAATGAAATCGTGATCACACAGAAATAATTTTTGTTTTTATATTTTTTAGTCTTTATTGTTATCTTGGCAAAACGTGAAGATTGTAAAATAATGCACTTTAAATAATTACATAGCTTACTCTTATACAAAAGTTTCATGAAGCTTTTGCATGGCGAGCTATTATTGATTATTTTTATTCATATTCTTTGCAGAAGATTTTGTTGACGATGACTCTGAGTCTGGTATTGGAGACTGTGAAGATCAAGATGAGTTTCCTTCCCAGTAAGTGTTAATTTTTCTCTTGGGTTTTTGGGACTCGTATTTTTTATTTATTTAAATTTGAACGTATCAGTTTTTTATTAATATATTTAGCTGTTAGCTACAAATACGGTATTATTAAGGTGTTTTTTTTAATTCTCAACAAAATGATTAAAACATTAAATATGTTTGATTTTGTTGAATTAATTTGAATGTGTAAAAAGCGCTTGTCATTTTGTAACGGAAATTACGCTGTCAAGTTTACAAGGTAAATTCAAATATTTGAGCAAGTTTCTTTTTAAAGCACGATCATTAAAATGTAACTTTCAACAATTATTTTGTATAGAATGAAGTTAGCTTTAATGGACTGTTGTTTAAAATTATAGTTTCTTAAAAAAAATATATGGACTCTGTGGATTCCATTTTTAAATCCAGTAGAATAGAGTTATCTAAGTCCTCAAAATTTGTGGTTTATATATTTGCATTTGTTTGTTTGTCGTTAAGCGCAAAAATTTAACTTTTCAAATATTATTATTATTATTATAAAATAAGAAATGTAACATTTTTATTTACTGATTATTTTCTCTCTCTTAAACAGTGCACAGAGTTTGGATTTAAAGGAGACACTAGGAGAATGGTGTATACCATTTGATGATCTTAAGTTTGACGAGCGACTAAGGCACGGTCGTCAGGGCGACATCTTCAGGTACGTTGAAAAAAGACAATGGTTTTCGAACTATAAAGCCGAAGTTGGCGAAATAAGTATCTTTCCATTAAAATAACAACAAAATACTATATAAGCACATATTATATACAAAAAATTATATATTAACTTGAAATATATTTAGTAAAATTATATATATATTTTTAGAAATATATTGTCGTCACGTGCAAAATTGATACTTGTATATTATTTGCTGTTGGTTTATATAAATATTTTCTTTTTGCTTACATATTCAGCAAATATTTGATTATGTGATCTGTATAGTTTTCGTATAAGTATATCGTAAAAATATATATATTTTTTTTATAAATTCCAGAGGACGCTGGCACGGTGAAGTGTTGATCTACACAGTTAGACAACAAAAAGAAGCGGAGTTTCGCCAGTTTTTAGATGACGTAAGGCAGCTCAGCATGATACGTCACGAAAACGTAGTTCTTTTTATGGGAGCCTGTATAGAACCCCCTCAGCTTGCTGTTATTACAAGGTTAATAATGTTGCTTATGCCAGTACTTTTAATTTTGTTTTCATTGATAATTAAAATTTTAAAAACTTGGTATGAATTTTCAGTGTAAAAGAGATATTAGATAAGGTTCGTTACAATGGGTTTTGTCAATCCTTAAACTCAAACAGTGTAGCTTCTGTGTAGGATTTAATAAGTAATCAATAATTTCGTTTAAACAAATATGAATAATGTATTAGGAAACAAACGAGGCTTAGAAGTGTGATCTCCTTTATCCCATAATACAGATTTGTACTTACTGGCTTTAGCTTACATTTTTTCTGCTTGGTTTGTTTGTTTTAAGTTAAGCACAAAGATTCTCAATGGGCTGTCTGTGCTCTGCCCACCACAGGTATCGAAACCCATTTTCTAGCGTTGTAAGTCCGCAAGCATACCACTGTGCTACTAGGGGGCTTTCCGCTTGGTGGCTGTAAAGATGAAAATGTTCAAAAAATGAGCTGAAAATAATTTTGTGTAAATTGAGGAAAACAATTTTGAAAAAAAAATATTTTTTTAGGCTTTTCAATTCTAACATGAAGTATACTTAAATGATTACTATTAATGATTCTTGTATTAGTGTTTGTTTAAAGTAAATATATTTTTTTTTTTCAGCATGCGGAAAGGACCGTTGTTGTTCGAACACATTCACATAAAACATCATCGGTTATCGTTTTTCACTAAAATCAGCATTGCTCGACAAATTGCCCAGGTTAGTTGTTCCTTTTGACACTTCACCAAAACATTAAGTTTCATTTTTGCTTATGGATTAAAAGTGGGGTTTACTATTATTAATGTATTTATCGATAACAAAATAATCGTAAAAAATAAAGACACAATTATTATAATAATTATCTCGCCACCCACTTCAAAACTAATGTCAAAAATGCTGTAAGTACAAGACTATTGGCTAGAAGGTTATTTACATCGAATTACGACGTTTTGTTGTTGTTGTTTTTCGCTTGGACTACAGTAAAATGTAAATTTAATCATCGTTCATGGAATGAGAAAAAACTCATCAATGTTTTTGTCATTTAGGGAATGGGCTATCTTCATGCAAAAGGAATTATTCACAAAAAACTAAATTCCAGAAACGTGATTCTTGAAAGTAGGGTCAAGCTGTGTCTCATGGACCAAGGAATGTCCGACTCTCAACTGGACAGGTAAGGGTAGCCAAAAAACTGTGAATTAAAAACAGAAACTACACAAACAACATCCCAGAACTTCTAAAACAAGTTTAGAGAGAGATGATTTTCTGAATTTCTACAATAATATTGTTTAATTGAAGACACATTTTTTTGGACCAGGCCAGTAATTCGACAGCCCAGGCAATATCCTGGATTTGGTAAACACATGTGTCAATGAGACGTGTAGGAAACTTCTCAGCATTATACCAAAACTCCCTCTAGCAAACGTTTAAATAAAAATTATCCCAGAACAACAGCTTTAACTTGTCCTTATTTATCATCAGTAAATTTACTATTTAATTTGTTTGCTTTTACTCGAAAGTTAGCCACTTTAAATAACGAGTACTTAATACTTTCAGAGCAGAGTATGGCTGTGTTCCACGAGGTCACCTTGCTTACTTCAGTCCCGAAATACTGCAAAACCTACAGATCGAGCCTCCCAAGGTCTACTCCACCATGCCTTACACACAGGAAGCAGATATATTTGCATTTGGGTGCGTTTTTTGAAATGACATTTGTTTTTCAAATCTTTTAATGAAATTTTGGGGAAAAAATCAGCTAAGATTGTGAAGATTTTAATGGCTGTGTGTGTGTATTTATCAGTAAAATATGTAACTTTTACTTCTCTCCTACTCTTGTAGGTCCATATTGTACGAGCTGTTTGCTGAAGAATTCCCATTTAGTCACTTAAGTCCCCATTCTGTTATTTGGTTAGTTGCCAGTGGGAGGCGCCAGTGTCTTAGTAACCTAAAATGTACGAGTGGATTAAAGGTAAGTCACCTTTAGAACCCTTATTACTAATTTGTTTCCATAAACTGGATTAAAGTAAAAGCTTTATTGCAGAAGTAACCGTTTTGTAGAAACTGATTTTACTTAAATTGTTGTAACTTGTTACATTAACTCTCGTATTCTCTAAAAGTAAAATATTTACATAAAACGGTTATTTACTGAATAATTATTGATGCTATTACTTGTATAATTTTACCCTTTCTGCACTAATAAAAAGTATAAATGTGGCACTATTGATAACTTAAGTTCACTGAATATCAGTTTGTTTACTTACCGAACGCCATTTTTTTCCCCCTAGAGTTTAATCCTAGAATGTTGGTCCCACTCTCCTAGTGACAGACCAGGTGTTGTATACATTATCAAACAACTACAGGAAAGTGTAAGTACCCTAGTTATAATAATTACAAGTTCGGTATTAATTTTCTAAAGTGATTCATCCATAATTGATAGTTATAACTAGTTACCTTTGAAATTTTCATTTAATTCCTTAGCATGTAAAAAAAAATATTTAGTTAAACTTGAATTAAAAACAAAATTGAGGCAAATATTAGGTCGTCAAGAAATTAACGTCGCATTTTTTAGACGAAAAAACCCGAACAACTTGTATATCAAAAC